CAAACTTTGTATTAAACCAGTTGTTATNCGCCAAATGATTATTTTCATTTAGCAAATTTATATATTTCCATTGTAATATTAATTATAAATATAGGCTCCAACTTGTAAATAACTGATATTTATCATATAATATTAAAATGAAATTAACATCAGATAACCAGGGCTTTGCTGGATTATCCTGGTAATCGGGTTCATAGCCATATGCAGACTGAAAATTCAATAAATGCCTGACAAACATATACATAAAAGTATTGCGTTGAGTCCATATTATATGTAGTACTACTTTATAACATTACTTTATAAATCCAACGAGTTTTGGACTTTAGGAGGCCGGGCCGGCCTACTGAGTGTACTATACTTATCAACCTAAACATTTTGTCTTGAAATTCTCAACTCATATTAATTTTCCGTTACTTTTCTGTTTTGATTTAAGTAATGGTAATTTAAATTTCTAGTTGTTTTTATTTTCGTGTTTGTCAGAAAAGCTTCATCATTAAAGCCAGAGGAATCTTTTATTACTGAAAAAAGAGTATAACCCAAAATTAAAGAGAACAAAAACTTCGCTTCACAGTAGGAGTGAGCATGGGTCGGTATGATTCGGTTCGGTTTTCGGAACTATCGAAACGGTTCGGTTCGGTTTGGTTTGATTCAGATATTTGGAGATTTCTTATCATTTTTTAAATTTTTTTGAATGACCACCTAGTTATATTTTATTTTTTATATGTTTTTTCCAACATTCATCAATACTTCATCGACTAAAAATTTTATTTTTAAATCATATTTAGAAGTTACCCTAAATTTTAGTTAAGACTAAATTCAACTAACATTGAAAATTTAAATTAAAACAAAATATAATACAGTTTTATATTAAAGTAATATTTATTTAACCTTCCATACCATGTTAGTTATAAGATAACTAAGGCTAAGTATCTACAACATTAAGTAAAGCTTAAATAGTTTTTTTTTAAATCTTTAACCTTTCATTCCATTTTTTTTTAAACATGAGAAATTCAATTGTAGATTAAGTATTACTAAACATGAAATATAAGTCAATCTTGATTGTTATTACTGTATTTTATTTGCATTTTAAAAATTCTGAAATTATATATATAGGATCAAAGTTGACATAAAATATATTAATAACACGCATCTATTTTTATAATTCGGTTCTTAATTTCGGTTCTGTACGGTACGGGACGGTTCGATTTGGTTCTCGGTATGGATATTTATGAAATCTCCAGAACCGTACCAATTATTTTTTCAGTTCGGTTCGGTTAGGAGAAAGTCAAACAGTCAACGGATATTTTTCGGTTCGAAGTGATTTCAGTTCGATTTTTGGAACGGTTCGGAATTCTCCGAGTCCCATGCTCAGCACTACTTCACAGTACCAGCAGCTTAGTTTATAATGAAAAAAAANTTATAATGAAAAAAAAAAAAAAATTGAAGTGATTGGAATAAAAGATAAATTAGCATAGACTATCTTGTATGTGACTAGAAATTTGAAGCAATCCATGCGCATCATTGTATATTCTGTTGCCTGTTGGGATCAAATTCAAATATTTATACTATGACCAAAATAATAATTAATGACATGTACATTACTTTGTACCCAAAAAAAAAAAAAANGGTGACATGTACATTACTCAGGTAGAAAATTATTGATATGCTTACAACTCCAAATGAGGTGTGATCCAAGTTCGACAATGATAATTGCAATTAACAGAGGGCATGTGCGAAAATATGGATCTGTTTTCTAGCAATGGCTGCCCATGGAGGTTGCCTGATTTAAAGGATAAAAGCTGTTTGGCAAATTTGCAAAACAGAACATGAATTCATAATCTTTACTTCAATTGTAGTTTAAACATAATTTTTTAATTTGGTAATTTAAGCAACCGTTCATTATTTTTTGTAAATAAATGCCAAGTCCGACAATATTTTGAGATTGTCTAGCACTACTATTTATTTATTTATTTATTTTTTTGCCGAAACTGCAAATTTTATTAATAAAACATATAATTATAAGTGGCTAATTAGCCGACTGAAGGAGGTCGATCGCTTTGGAGCATCCAGATCGCTTTGCTACCTCAAAGGACGTCGACAAAAAGTTGGTGTACTTGTTGTCAATCTTTTGTGACGAGGAGACTGACCGCTTGTCAGGCAACAAGGCGACCCGAGCTAGTTATGCTCTCAACAACATCATCCAAGTATGACCCCCTCTTATACCTTTTAAATACTTGAGAACTTGGGATCGACCTCTTAATACTTGTACTTATCCCGCTACCTTTTATCATACATGCACTATCTTCCTTTTCCCCATGTTGAAAGAGGCGCTGGCTAATGAGACCCCATCCCCAAAGGTCGCCCGACTAGAGACTAAGCATGCGCACAACGAGGCCGTCGATGTGAGCCTGCACGCCATAATTAGCCACCAGAGGACTGGCTCAGTCGGCTTGGTGAGGAAAATGCCTAGTTGAAGACCGAGACATCTCAACTGAAGGTCGAGGTGTACCAGCTGAAGGCCCAACTGGCCAAGCTCGTCAACTCGATGTACGAGCGTGAGTCCCGGCTTGCGAGGAAGGTCTTGCCTATTTCTGGACCTCGGCTCTGGGGAAGAGCTTCTAGGAGCATTAATGGTTGGAGCTTTTCAACTGATTCAAGAACTCCATAGAGTTCCTCCATTTTGGCACTTGTTTGCTGCCAAACAGTACTTTATTTTTTATTATTTTTTTTTATTCTGAAAAAAATATGGAACAAGATTGCAAGGATTTCTTACGGTGAAGAAGCTCGCTCGACTTATCAGTTAGTTGCTTAAGGTATGCAACTTCTTTTTCTTAACTTTAATTAATTTCCAAAGAACAAGTTCGGGGGAGAGAAGTGTCGTATATCTTGAGTGTATCAATTTGCTTGAGTTGAATATTTTTTCTTTGTCTTGTGTTATGCTTCGAATGATTGGTGGATACACAAGATTTGTACAGAGTTGTTTATTTTAATTGAGATTTTGTGATGGTGATCATAAATAATATGCCTTTATAAATTGCTTGATTTCTTTGAGTCAATGATTCATTTACCTCGGAGAGGATTTGAGCCTTATTTGATTCTTGTGTGTTTTGTCGAATACTTGGAATACTAAAACTTGCATTGGTTCTTACTTGAAAATATGATTATGTGCATGAAGCTTTGAAATGATTGAGGCAATTCTTGTTATCAATACCATTTTATCCTCTTTTATTTTAAGTAGTCAGTTTGAGCATTTTCATGATAGCCCTTGATGTGACTGATTTTATATTACATAGTGATGTTGGGGGTTGAGTGAAGCTATATGTGATGATGAGCTATAGTGATTTCAATTTTGGGAATTTAATGAGTATGAGATGGAGGCATTTGGAAAAAAAAAAAAAAAAGAATAAAGAGAGCTCGCAATGTGAATTGTGAAACTTTTACTCCCCTTAGTCTTGATTTGATTTGTTGATGCATGAATAATGAGTAATGAGAAACCATTCTAGGACACTTGGATGAACTACAATGACTACATCTAAAAAATGTTGTTCTATTTATTTATTATTGTTTGGAAAGGTTGGTCTCACGAAAAAAAATTATTAACAATTAACAGAAAAAAATATCAAGTGCTGAGAGTTGCGTATACGGTATTGTGCTTTATAGAGTTACGTATATGTGTTTTATTTGGGAGATAATTGAAGATAGAAGAGGGTGATTTTTCGTTGTTTATTTGTTTGAATTTTTTAGTCACTTGGCTTATATTTTTCTACATTGTCCAAAAAGTTTACAATACAACCCAAAAGACATTTTGATTCTTAGCTCACATACATTAATTGTATTTAGTAGAGTTTAGACGATTTACAAGCTTGTGGTTGACCTCGTGTTTCAAACTAACTTGAGCGCACCCTTCTATTTTTCGATGTTATTTCACAAGATATTCGAGTGAAACATATATATATTTGACTTTATTTGAGTGTTCATGGATTCAAGGTTTTGTCAAGTTAATAATTGTTGCATATGTATTTCTGATTACTTTAATTTATCTTAATTCTTTTGGATAACTTGATGTTGTTTTTTGTTTTGAATCACCCTTCATGCACGGGATTTGTTTTATCTTATTTGTTATTCGAGGTTGAACAGTGGCTAAATTTGGGGGATTTAACATACGTCAATTTTACGTGCAATTTAGAGTTATTTCGTGCCCGTTTCGTCGTAGTTTGATATACAATAATTATATAATTAATAAATTTTATTAAACTATGATGAGGTGTGTTATTTTGAGTTTTGATGAGAAATAAGTTCGAAATAATTATTGAAGCCGAAAAGGATGTGAAATGGATATAAACGGTGTGCGAACCATGTATTGAAACAAATCCAGTTTGAGATTATAGGTGTGAACATTACTTAGGCTCAAGCAGGCCGAACAAAATGGAATAAAAAAATAAGGCAGCCCATTTCAGATTGGCACAATTGGAGAATTACAGGCATGGGCATATTCGTAATTTCTTAGTGTGCATGAATTGTTCTGTACTTCATCTCCTTCAGCAGCAGACGTCCGCCATGAAAAAGAGCTGCCCCATGACCTGATGTCCGCCATGAATTGTTCTGTAGTGTCGAATAAGCTGTTTTTTTTTTCTTTTCTCTTTCGAATTCAGTGTTTTATATTTGTTTTCCTGATTTTTGAAGCATATTTCTAGGCTAATTTCATCTTAATAAATAGGATTTGTTAGTATTCAGATTGATTTATGACATGATTTTTATTTGATTCATTCTGGTTTATCTTTGATTTTGATTTCGTATACTTATTTTAATTGTATGAGTAGATGACTATTTTGAATACATATTTGTGATTGATTTGAGACCGAGAGAAGATAATTGATTTCTAGAATTGAGAAACTTATAATGTAAGAAAATAAACAGACCGAGAGGTTGATAAGATCTTACAAGAGAACGAAAATCTTAGGAACTTACGAAGTTAGTGTTCATTTTGAAACCGAAAGGAGATTTATAAATAGCAATTAATCTACGATATAACTTGTTCTAGAGAAAGATTAATATAATTTAATGATTATCTCAAGCTATGATAGAAAGTAAAAGGGCGTCAGAGATTTTCTGTCCAGATATTGGTTATAGATAAACAGTTCCCCAAATTACATAAGCAAACTAACTGATGAGTAGTAAGGAATGTTGCAATATTGCTAAGATTATATGGTGCCAATGACTATGTCTATGCATGATCTTTGAAGATGCAACTATAGATCATTAATTAAAAGCAATTCATGTAAGTACTTCACTGAATTAAAATTGCAAATCACGCATAACTAAAAACGTACTTTTTAAAAATTCTGGGCAAATAATACGACAAAGAAGACTTCAAAATTAATATAAATACCCTGAGATCATAAATTGATCACAAGCATAACAAAATACGTGATTTTTTTTTTTCTTTCCATATATAGAAGACATTTATTTATATTTATCTAAATATCGAAACGAAGTTCCTTAGCCTGTCACGTAATCTTGCAGCTGCATCATCTTGTGAAGACACTCCATAATCAACCTGAACATAAATAAGAAAATAACGAACAAGAAAAGGAAACATTATTCTGCAAATCGAAACGCAAGAAAATACAATTGATTAATTTAAAACAAAACATGCAGGAAAAAATCAATTTTTATTTTTCTACCTTGCAATGCATAGTGTGTAAAAATGCATCATCAAGCACCGAAAAGCTGGCCGACACAACTTCAGCACCTTCTTCGTGCAATATTCGGATAATTTCACTTAACTTAAACTGATAATTTTTCCCAGATATCAAGAAAACCTCCAAAGCAGAGCCCATTACACAAACATCAATGCTCGGCAAATCAATCCCTCCCCACACACTCAAATTTGCAGAATCTTTCCTCAAGAGACATTCTTTTTGCTGCTTCAGTTTTTCCAGGTTAAACTGTAGCTTCTTTATGTAATTTGTGGCTCCTTCAAGCTGGCCAGGTATCGAAAAGTTTTCCTACAAAACCAGAAAATTAAACAATAATATTAAAAGGGGGGTTAGAAAGAACATACATTTAGTCATTTTTTTTACAAAAAAAAAGAAGATTGTAATCAAACCCTAGATGATTGATTAGGAACAAGAGAATTGAGACTGGAATAAAGGGATTTCATAACATTTCTTCGTTCTTTCTCAATAATTTTTCGGTCGGGTTTGGAGTAGCAATGGTTAGGATTCATTTGTGTGTGATTTTTTTCTATTTTTAAAGACTTGAAGCTCAAGAGGAAATTTGGAAAGGTAAAAGGCTTAAAGGAATAACAGGCAGCATAAAATAGGTGTGTTATGGAGTGGTACAATGACATATATAAAAGCTGTTGATTTGATACCCAAAGTTAAGTGTGCTTTAGTTGAAATTGTGACCCCACCATATGGTGTGTGGAGTGATATTCTTGACCACATTTTATAGTTTCAATTGACAACGTCCAAAATCGTGCTAGTAAACGCACGTTTAGATTTTGGTTTAATTATTTCACACTATTGTAAGTTTGTGGGGAAAAATGGTGCACTTCTTGCTTTACGTGATACGTTTAACTTCTTGCATTAATATGGGTAGAGAGTGAGCCACGAGGGTCATGACGATTAAATACACTACAAGAAAATGACGAAATTTCAATAGAAAATATATTTCAATAGATTTCCAACGACAACTTCAATGGATATTTCAATGCTATTATTTCCGTTGCAATTATTCTAACAGAAATTCCAACAAAAATATTCTGTTGGAATGAGTTTTTAATTGGAATTTTCGTTGGATTTCGACGATTCCAACTGTATATTTTCCAACGGTGGTAAAAATAAAAATTCCTACGGAAATAGCATATTCCAACAAAAATTCCTACAGTTAAAAGCCGTTGGAATCATCATATTCCATCTAAAATTACAATGAAAATACATTCCAACGGAATATTTTCGTTGGAATTTCCGTTGGTATAATTCCAATAGAAGATATACAATTGGAATATATTACCATAGTATTTTTCGTTGGAATATTAACAATTTTTTTTGTAGTGATATTTTTTTTAACATATAATATACTAATGCATAGCTAGTGCGATGCACGGGACACATATATTAAATGAGTCGTTTCTATAGGGCTTGTATGTTTAGACAAAAAAACAATAGGGTTGGATCATCAATTTTTCACTTTTTTCAATCAGTGATGTTATTTTAGTCATAACGTTGACACTTTAATTAATATATTATTCTGCTAACACGTTACACTAATATAAATTTAATTTTACAATATATATATTTATTCATCGATATAAGAAAAAAAAATAAAAATTATACTTATTCATGTTCACCATATAATACTCAATTATTATTTTATTATATTATTTGTTTGTCATATAATGTAATTATCATTAGTTATAAAGGTTATAGACGTAGTCTTCTCCTTCTTAGTTTATGTAATGAAATTTAAAATAAAATTTTGTGTATAAATATTTAAAAAATACACACACATGTTTTTTAGAATTTAATTTCTCATAATAATTAAATAAAAAATCGGATTTAGCAAATTGCCAAATAATAAAGCCTTACATAATCAAATGATTTTTCTAATTTGCATCCTAAGGCTTTATTAGTTTATTTAACATACAATGAAATAAAATATATATTTTACAATAAATTCATTATGGAAACAAATAATAATAAAAAAATAATAAAAGTTATCATGGTTGACAATAATATACAAAAAAAACATGTTGAAATTGTAAAGAATATTTAATATATTTTAATTTTATTATTTAGCCATTAGTAAATTATTTATTGATGTGATCGTTATCTATTAAATAGAAAATTATTTTAATTTGATAAAATTATTTGTTTTTATATAATTAAATAAAGGTTAAAAAATATTATCGAAAAATATTAATTCACCAACTTGATTTCACCTAATTAGTTAGAAGGAAAAAATTATTTAACATATTACGGTTGTTTATAAATTTTTTAGGATGAAAGTCATCAACATTTGTGAAAAAAAATTAGTAATATGGTTAAGACTTAAAATTTGTTTTCATATTTATGTTGACCAAAATATTATCAACATGAATCATAGAAAATCAAACCATAATTTATTATAATGGTTATCAATAAAATTATTGCAAAAGTTAATACAATTATTCAAGGAAAGAATCTTTTTAACAATATCTGATTTGGAAATATGTATATGAAAGCAACTAATGCATATATTTAAAAAGTTTCACTAAATGCTCCCAATTTTTTTTGCTACTGTTTTTAGTAAATGGTTATTCTCTTCAAATCTATATAAATTTGTAATTATCAAAGTTATTAAAGTTGATAAATGTTTAATCGTTTGGTGGTGAACTGGGGCCTTTGTACTCGAGCATTTAGTTTGGACTAGTCGGAGCCTAGCGAAGTCATCAAAGTCTTAATAAATTTATTATATTTTCGTCTCACACAATTTATAAGTTATTTACATAACGATGACGAGCGATTGCTAACGGTTCTTAATCGTAGGATTAAGGGAGGATGAGATTTGATTAATCGAGAGACTGATGTGGTCTTATGCTGGTGAAAAACAAAGTTCTGTATGAAATAGCAGAAGAAATAAAGAACGCACGATTTCACCAATCTTGGGGGAGATCGGCGATGAGAATATTTCTCTTAAAGTAAGACTAGCAGTGAGTGGTTTTGTTACAGTAGTAGGTCTGATATTCATTGGAGACTAGATCCGTGCGGTGGTGAATTTTGTCATTCTCATATCCTTTGGAGGTGGAGGCAATTTTCGGCGAGTTTATTTTTCATTCCATTCATATCCGGGACATGTGACAAACGAGTTTGCATTTCTTACTTCCTTCTATTTTGTGTGTTTTTCATGTTTCATGTGCTCATATGTTTTTTGTTCTTATTGTGCCTTTTACTCGATTCCAATTCATAGTTATGTCCGTTCCTTGTCTTTTTTCTTTTACTTGTTTGGTTACGCAATGTGGACATTGCGTTGTTTTAAGTGTGGGGAGGTTTTTGAGAATCTTGCATGCTTATGTGGTGGATCGGTCTAGCTTTTAAGGATTATTTTGCTTTTGTTTTTGTGTTTTACTTGGTTTTGTTATTAAATGAACCGGTTTTGCGTGTTTGTGACGACTCTCCCGCATGAAATTTAATGCTTAGTCGATATTGCTAAAATTTTTTGGAATAAACGTGTTTATTTCTTTTTTAATTGTCTTATTTTATGCCTTGAAACGAGTTAAACCTTGATGATTCTAAGTTCATTGAAGATTTGCTAATGTGGGACGCATAATTTAAAGTCACGGCTTTGTTTTGTCCTTCGTAATACCTGATTTGTTATCCTTTGAACTTGCCTTCTTTGAAGTTTATGTGTAAAAGCTCATGTTCGTAGTCTATTCTCGTTATTACACATCGTGACATATTATTTTGATTGTATATTGTTGGAATTCACGTTGTTGTGTTGATTTGTTTGCACACTCATGAAAAAATAAAAAATAAAATAAAAGATGAGTTCGCGAGTCAAGTACGGATTAGACTCCTCTTGCCCCGGTTCACAAGGTGCAATGAGATAATGAGCACGAAAAATCGGTCTAGGAGACTCGAGAAAACCCCTCGAGGGTACACCTAGATAATAATCATCTGAAAATCTCTTTTGAAAAAAATGCAAAAAAAAAAAAAAAAAAAAAAATGAAGAAAAACAAAAGAATATAATGAATAAAGAGAGTGAAACTTTGTTTGTGACCATTGATCTTATTGTCTATCTTTGAGGTGGCTTATAGTCCTTTGGTCTTATGAAAAATATTTGTATTTTACGGACTACGAGTACACGTATGTTGCATTAGTATGTAGATTTGTAAATGTTGGCTTGTGACGAGTCGACCATGTGTGGAAGAGCATTGAACGTGTGTTATTTTGTATGATTCGAGATTGTGGAGAACATAATTTGAAATTGAATATTGACTATAAGAATCTCGGGGTAAAAACGGTTTTGCATACCTTGGGACATGATAGATGAGTAAATTAATTTATATTTTTGAAAGATTAGCGAGATTGTTTGATTGAGGACAAGTAAAAGGCTAAGTGTGGGGGAGTTATTTATATTTTTGTTGTTATTTTTTGTGTTTTTGAGTATTCTATTTGTGCTCGTTTTAGTTTATTATAGGTTTCTCTAGGTTCATTTCGTCGTTTTTTCTCGTTTTTTGTGTTTTTGTGTCGTTTTGGTGTCTTGTGCTTTTTATTTCTCTTTTTATCTTTTGTTTTGTAGGAAATGCACTCTAGTGACACACTTGACAGTACCGAAACATTACCCGGAAACCTGCCGGAAAATTTTCGGCCTGCAGGCCCAGTCAATGCTTGGTGGACATGCCGCGCAATGCTAGTTCTCCTAGCAAGTTGTTCCGGGCAAGTGCCTACTAGAGCCAGTCTACCTAGAGAGTTGTTTTGTCAGCCGGCAAGTGTAGACCACTGCCAGTCCTCCTAGCGAGTTGTTCTGCTAGCTGGCGAGCACTGACCACAGCCAGACCACCTAGCGAGTTGTTCCGCCACTGAGCAAGTGCTCACATCGCTCCGTCCTCCCAGCTAATTGTTTCGTCACCGAGTGAGTGTCTATCATTAAATGTGTGTGTTTTAGTGTTATTTTTGGTGTGTCTATAAGTAGACTACGTACTTTGTATTTTTGGGACAACTCCTTTATTTCTCAACTTTCGAGTTGGGGAATTATCCCTTTTTTCTCTCTTTTCTCTCCCTAGTTCATGTTTGGAGCTTTAAGACTTTAATTTTCCAACAATTTTCTGTCCATGTCGTTTTTATTAATGTTTTGAGTTTTTTTGTGTTTATTTCACCCGGGCATGTAGTAGGAAAGTAAGTACCTAGTTTAGAACATGCTATTTTGAAGTTGTTTTATTTTTTCTTACTACATGGTTTGAGGTTAAAATAGCGTCTTGGCCGGAATTCATGTGGATTGACTCGGTTTTTACTAAAGTTCGTATCTTTTCTTTTGTTTTGCTTGTCTAGTGTGACTAGTTGGTTAAAGTTTGATTCTTTCAAGATAAAAATCGAGACATTGTTGAAAGATCAGTTGGTACATAAAAGACCTCCGACCGGCTGGATTCGGCCTGATCTTGAGCTCTTCGTCGGTTGAACGCTTTCGGACCTGCAAAAACTCTCACACTGGAGGGGCTTTTCGGTGAAGAACCTCTGATGTTTAAGTTAACATTTTGAAGAAGATGAAGTGTTGTATGTATGTAGAGTAATCGAGAATGTAATGTGATAATAGACATATCTCGCTCTCTTATAGTGAGATGATACATTGTTGCACAAGACTGTCCGAATGGGCTACTCAAACTGTCTGATAGTGCAGCTCGAACTGCCCAATTTTGTTAGCACACCTGGCCCT